CTTGATAGTAGTGGGGTAGTTTTTCTCCTTTTATTACTTGAGGTTTGTGGGCAGCTGGAGAGGTGCGGTCAGACTTCTTACCCGAGGAGGAATCTTTCCTGGAGACGCTTCTGCCCGTCACTACCTTTTAATGACAGCGTTTCCCTGACTGGTTTTTAGCCTGGTGTTCCCTTAAGGATGGGTTTTGTTCTGGGGGAGTTTTTGGGCTGGTGTTGTGTTTGATTTGGGGTTTTTTGGTTAAAATATCTGTGCCCCTCTGATCTTTTTGTGCATTTTTTTTTCCTCTAACGTGAGGGCGTTTGAAATGGTGAGAAACCTGGCTGCTTTGTGCCAGGGTCCCTGGCGTGTGCTCTGTGGGGGATTGTGCCAGCCCTTGGGAACACGAGCACGGAGACATCTGTCCGCCCCCGCTGACAGGCCGGGCAGGGGAGCCGAGCCCCGCTGCCGCCTGCGCGCCGTTCCCACCTGGTCTCGCTGTCGCACCGAATGGGCCAGTTGCCCTCGTGTGAAATGAGAGGATTTTTTAGCCTATTTGTAAACAGAAAGCAGCTGAAGAGACATCGAAATTGGACTCTTCAGTAGGTAGTTTGTGAAAATTCTTGTGATTTGTGAGCAAAAGAGGTTTAGAGATGAGATTTCATTGAGAAAAAAACTTTTTTTAAAAAAAAAAACAACTTGGTAATCATTGGAAAGAAAGTATATGGAGCTTCTTGGGTTGCGTGCCGTGTCTTGTGCAGTTCACGTTACGTTTCTGTTTCCTAAGATCTGTGTGGATCAAACGAAGAAAAGCAGAAGCCCAGTGCCACAAGCGATGTGGTCTGTTGCAGTGACCAGAATGATAATCTGGAAATGAAGCCCCATTCGTATTTGGAAGCTATTTGCAGTGGACTGGAAGATCCGGTAGCCGGAAGCTCCTGTGCTGATGGAGAGCAGCTGTGTCCTTACGCTGCAGCGGGAGCGTGCCACTTCGGAGATCGCTGCCTTTACCTGCACGGAGATGTGTGTGAGATATGTGGGTTGCAAGTACTTCATCCGTACGACCAAGAGCAGAGGAAGGCTCACGAGATGGTAATATTAACGTGAAATCGGTGTGAGATGTGCTTTGCTCAGCATAAGATTTGATTTGTTTGCTCTAAAATCGAAGGATGTGTTTTGTAGAAGAGCCTGTTGCTCCAAAGAGCTTTTGTTTTACTGTTTACCTAGCTATAAAATGATCCTAAGAGAGGTACTTAATTGATAATGATGATGCGGATAGCCTCTTAAGCAACTTCTTTTTCCCGTTTCATCCTTATGGGAAACTTGCCTGCAGCATTCTCCCAGAACACCCTAAAACTCTACCAGAAAAATATCTTTTGTAGCTTACACAATGACTCAATGGCACATTATTTACAGTGAGGGAGAGGAACTGTGGGCTGCTGGTGCCTTCTGAGACCTGCTGGTCTGTGGAGACACCTCTTCGGGTGTCTCCTGTTGGTTGTGGCTGATGCCAGGGCAGCGTCAAGTAGGGACAGACTGAACGGAGTACAAGGATTTTGGAGCTGAGCTTGAAGTAGGACAGCCGGAGGGACTGGATGAGGAATTGGTTGGGTAAAGATGGGCTTAAGGGGCTGCTCTTCTCTCTGCCTGGCTACCAGATTTGGGTCAGAGCTGGTCAGGAAGAGGAGCTCTCAAGGCTGAGGAGGAGGAAGACCAGCAGCGTTAGTAGTTACTGAATCATAAGTGTCTCTAGAATCTGGAGTAGAATCCAAGGGGTTAAAAACCTCTGCTTTTATGCTGTCAGCATATACTTGCAAAACGTGCTGCTGTAGCAGTTCTGACTTCTCCCCGGAGCTCACTGATATCCAGCAGGGTGTCCCGTCGGGTGCTCAGCTCCAGAGGCAGAGGTGTGTGTTGGATGAGAAGGTGCAGTAGTCGGAGTGCTGCTATTAATGTGGGATTATTTTGTGTCCTGATTTTATTACTGTAATTTTAAAAAGTCTTTTAAATTTATTTTACTTGTCAAGTCCTAAGAGCTTTGAAAAGCAAGAGGTAAAACCGTGCAGGTATAACCACCAGCTCACCTCGTAGTGCTCTGAAAGTGTAAGCTGGTTATTGATTGTCACTACTGGGATACTGTCCTGAGAAAGGCTGTGGGAAAGAGGCTAATTCCTTAGCTAGGGTAAAGCTTAATATCCATATTATATTATATTATATATACCCAGATTAATATCCACATGCAAGTGTGGCCCTAATGCTAAGCAGAGTTCCCTGTGGAGTGTGGCACCCATTCGGGACCCTAAAATAGATGGTTTTAGGAGCATTTGAAGCGTTTCCTTGTGCAGCACCTGTTCTGCGACAGAGACACAGGAAGGTGGAAACGAAGAGTGTTCAGGCAGCTTTACTTCTGATCCTCCTGAAACTGGAGAGGACATTGAAGGGCTGAAATATGTGATTGGACTTCATATTCTTAAAATTAAATTACGATGACAAAGGGTAAGAATGGTGCTTTTAATCAGCGTGCCTTATTTTTCCTGCAATAGATCCCTTTCATAGACAGGTTTGTTTTACAAGGAGCAGGCTGGCGCAGGGGCCGCAGTAACCAGTGGTGTCTCTCCCGTGACAGATGTGCATGGCGACGTTTGAGCACGACATGGAGAAGGCCTTCGCCTTTCAGGCAAGCCAGGACAAAGTGTGCAGCATCTGCATGGAAGTGGTGTACGAGAAACCATCGGCCTCCGAGAGGAGGTTCGGCATCCTTTCCAACTGCAACCACACGTACTGCTTGTCTTGCATCCGGCAGTGGAGATGTGCCAAGCAGTTTGAGAATCCAATCATAAAGTAAGTCGGTGTTAACCAGAGTGTCTTCTCTGCGGCCTATGTCGGTGGGACAGGCTCTCCAGTGTGCTTTGGTACGGAAATAAACCGGTGACATGGGATTCCGTAGCTGTAAATATTCACGTAGCCATTCATAAGGTCTCTGCTCAGAAAATCCTCATCCAACTGCTGGCAAATTCCAGGGCATTGGAGTGTGGCTATGAGAAGAACCACCTTCAAGGTGAGTAGGATGCCTCGGGTACCCTTTGGTAACAGTTTGGTAATGTGCCATGGTCCTGCCCAGGAAGAGCTTGGCCCATTGTAAAGCCCTCTCTCGTTGCTGGTGGTGGGGCAGAGCTCTGGAACAGCTGAGGCCTTCTTAACCTCTGCCCTTCACAGGGTAGTTTTTGCCCTTCTCTGGGCAAAAATAAGAACTCCTTTTTTCTACACGTGTGCTTAATGGCTGAATTTCTCTCTAAATGATAGCTGACACAAGCTAAATGTTCCACTAACCACACGTTTATCTGAGTAATGCCTTCATCTTCTAGCTATATAAAAAATGCATTCCAAACATGCTCCTCCTCAGATGAGAGAATTTAAAACATCCAGTTAGGGCAATTTCCTTTTCTGAGCATGTGTTTGAAAACTCCCTCAAGTTACAAGCATACTGAGGAAAAGGTGGGAAATATTTTTCAGTCTTCTGTCAAAATACACTTCTCTGCATAATTTTCATTATAGATTTAATTGAAGTGAACGTTAGCTCATTAGGACATAACTGGTATTGGAGTCGAGCTCCTGTTGGACAGGTGCTGAGATGTTCTGCCTACAGCTGGGAGCGTGAAGGGCTTTTGCAGAAACAGCACCCTGGGAACTGGTCTGAGCATGGATTAAATACTAACACAGATTCCTCAAAGGTGTTTTTTATGTGTCTCTCTAATGGTGAACATACCAGTCGTGGCAGAGTTAATCGGAAGGAGGGACTTGGCTTAGTTCTAAAAGCACTGCCTGCTGCAGGCACGGTGTTTCCCGAGACTCACTTACTGGGAGGGGGCAATAAAGCCTTTCCTGGGCTTGTTGGGGTACCTGGAGTTGCGTATTTGAGTCTTGATCTTAGTTCCTCACGTAGAAATCATCTCGTGAAACCACGAAGTGAACAGCTTATCCCTGCTGGCGTTTCAGAAGGCTTAGAGACCTCCCGGTGTCTTTTCCACTGGTTGGGTTTTCTGCAGCACTTAAGGAACAGTTACGGTTTATTTCTGCGTTACTGGGATTAGCAGATACCGTTTACTGCTGCCTTTGAGGCAATACCTGATACTTTTGCTCAAGTCAGAAACAAACGCGAGGCAGCACGAGCCCTGACTGGTCTGAACTGGGTTCTTGCAATAGAAAGGAGTGGCAGACGTGTGCTGTGCTCGTCTCTGAGGAGGGCTCTGGTGCGACAGGTGACAAACATCTCCCTTTCCCTCAGGAGGCTGCTGTTTCTGGCAAATTTATTGAGGAGTATCAGTCTGGGAAGGTAACAGCCTTGCTGTTTTGTCTCCATCTGTTAAGGTCTTGCCCGGAGTGCCGTGTGATATCCGAGTTTGTCATTCCCAGTGCATACTGGGTAGAAGACCAGGAGAAGAAAAACGAGCTGATTGAAGCATTTAAGCAGGGAGTCGGGTAAGATCAGTAACCACCACTGTTTATGTGTCCTTGGATAGATACACTGAGACTTAATCACTCCCAACGCCTCTGCTTTTAAACAACCCACTCTACAGAGAACTCAATCTCTGTTAACACTTCTATTGAACTCTGTGACTGCTGCAGAAGGGTCTGTCGTGGGATTCTGGATCAGAAGTTATTCGGACTTGCTGTGCTCCGAAATGCTGATGCTGTTTCAGTTAACTGGCCAAAATTGGCTTCGCGTGTTTTCTGTTGATCCCTTGGGCGTAATTGCCTGGAAGGGTGTCAGTTACTGCGGGAAACAAATAGGAAGGAAAATGTGATAGTCTCTCAAAATATGGGATAAAAATTCACGGGACTTTTGTAACATCTACTGGAAATGGAAAATACTACATGACTGCGTTCCTTTTATTGTCTGGTAACGGTTTGCCTGGTGCTGGAGCACCGGGAGGGGTCTGCTGAGGGGCAGTTTTGCAGCAGCTTTGCAAAGCTGTGCTTGCCTGGATTGTGGGGGAGATTCCGTAGCTCCCAGAGCGGCGAGGTGCCGTTCCATAGGGGGAACAAGCAGAGCTGTGCCTGACCCGCCTGAGCGGTGACTGTTTTGCTGGAGGTTGTGCAGCTTTATGCTGTGATGTGCACCAACCTCCGAGCGTGCCCTGTGGAGTACAGAAACAGAACTGGCCTTACTTAAATCTGTGCGTAGCTGTTGGTAGTGGCTTTTCAGCTTCTTGAGAAGCTTTGAGTCCCTGAAGTCCTATTAAGACGCAGCAGAATTGTTGAAAGCAGTACTACTCCATTAGGTGTTTAATCCAGCGTCTTATTTTACAGTCAAACAAAATATTTCAATAAAATTAATCACTTTAAACTGAGGTTCTTCAGATGCGGGTTGTTCTCCATACCCCGTTGCTGTTGTGGGTTTTCATTTTAGTCCATGAGGACCTTGAATTGCGGGCAGTAAGTTGTGCACAGAAGCCTCAGCTTAGTGCAGTTTTCCAACGGCCGCGTTCTCCGTGAGGAAAGGTTGGTGGTGGTGGTGTCGGAACAGGTGCCCGGCAGTGTTAGAAGGTGGATTTTTCTGTTGTACAGAAGAGGATACAAAAAGGGGCTTTGCTTAAGTGCTCAGCTAAGACCAGTACCTTGTGCTGTAGATAGAATTTCTGTACCAGAGAGGTTTTCATGGACAGCTCTCTTGGCAGGCAGGTCAGCTTGAGGATTTAGTGCTGCATAGAATGAAAAAGTGCTAATAAAGGGGAGTCTAAGCTAAGAGCAGGGGTCAGGCCAGCACAAATCCACTCTGTGGGTTATATGCCAGTGCAGGAGGGAGCAGGTCAGACCTAGAGACCTGGATGTCACAGACCACTTGAGTTCCAAACCAAGACAAGTACATTCTGCTTTTAATGCACTCACTGGTTGGGGCTTTTTTTGTTCTTGTTGTGCTTTATTCACCATTTAGTTGCTATTTGGTAGACTGTGTCTATGCCTTAGGAACCAGTTTCATCACTATTTGCCTATTAAGTTGACAAGTTCAATTGCAATTTCCTCTGTAGTTTCCTCTTCAGCTGTTTCTCATTGTAGAACAAACCATCATCACCTCCCCCCACTCCGAGTACTGTTGCACCACCTCTGGAAGGAACACCTTTGTAACCATTTGCTACACAGCCGGAACAGCTTGGTTCAACAACAAAGCTGGTGGAAAATTAAATTAACAAAAGTATTATGAACATCCTTCACTTTCCATGTCCCAAGATACTTTAATTCTGTTTTGTTACGATGTTGTTCTTTTATGTATTTCTTCATTCACTTTCAGTAATCTTCCCTGGCTGTTTTGACTGCTGTCAGTTTGGGACTGGACCAAAACTCTTGGTGTATTTGCATCTCCAGTAAAGATGAGACAATCAGCCACGGAGAGTGAACTGTACCTACTCCCTACTGGCTGAAGGCAATAACTCTCTCTCTTCTAATTAAATCAGGAAGAAACCCTGCAAGTACTTTGAACAAGGGAAAGGAACGTGCCCCTTTGGAGGGAAGTGTCTCTACCTTCATGCTTATCCAGACGGGACACGAGCTGAGCCTGAAAAACCACGGAAGCAGCTGAGCTCTGAGGGGACTGTGCGGGTAAGGGAATACTCCAGTCACGTGTGATTAAAACTATGTTTTGAATGTAAAGTGCACTGCTGACGTGTCTCGTACCACGCGTGGCTTTGGAGACGTGAAGAAGGCATCCCTCAACTTGCCTTGAGGCAAAGGTTTGTTATTAGGGAACGGAGAAGGCACCTGTCGTTTAATAGAAAAAATTTATTATCATTTTTTTCAACCCATCCTTCTCATGGCAAACCTTTCTTCAAAGGAATTCTGCCGTTAAAGCTTTCACCTGCAGTGTTAGAAGCTCAGCTCACCTGCCTGCATGTTACAATCACACATGTTACAGCTCGTTAGTAAGTCCTAGCATAAACCCAGCTTTTGAATCTCAACTTCTGCCTTTTTTTTTGGATGATTCTCTAAGACTGGTAAGGGAAGACACTTTGGTGGGACTGTGACAAGTACTGCTTCATGCTCAATCGGGTTTTCTTCTCTTCCAGTTCTTCAGTTCTGTGCGCCTGTGGGACTTTATTGAAGACAGAGAAAGCAGGACTGTGACCAGCACAGACGACGACGTGACAGAACTCGGAGAACTTTTCATGCACCTTTCTGGGGCCGACGAGGATTCTGCTACGACTCAATAACGAGAAGGACAGGTGCTGTGTTCCGTAGCAATCGAGCTATTTATTTAGCCATGCTTTTACTTTCTCCAGCACAGTTAGAATGAATGTGCCCTGTGGTTTACTTGTGCAGTCCTGGTAAAGTTTTCAGATAGTTTTTGTACGGCAACAAAACTACTACACTATAATTAAGAAGTTAAATTGATTGCATGGAAAAAAACATCCCTTAATCCCAAGAGGGTTTTTTCACTCTTTGGCCTAACATATGTTGTCTTGTGAGTTGAGTGGTGTTGTAAATACAGCTCCTCTCTTACTATTTAAAGCTTAAGCTGTTAAAAACTGTTGCTAAGTCTATTTTGGGTGCTTTTTTCCCCCCCCCTCACTAAATCATCAAGTAAGCATACCTCTACAAAGACCCACTGGGAATAATGGTCAGTGTAGCTTTTCTTCCTTAAAAAGGAGATTTAAGAACTAATACACTATACCTCAACATAGTAGCTAGGGTTCAGAGGCAAGTTTACTGTATTGTTACAGTGAGTGTTTCAGGAGTGGGGCCTGGGCACTGCCTGGCTCTCACCGAGCGGGCAAGTGAAGCTCCTACCCTTGTTTTAACATAATTAAAGTGTAGAGTGGGAGAAAGTGTCCCAGAGCACCCCCTGTAAAGCAAGTACAACTGTACTGATTAAGATATGCAGGCAGAGCAATGCTGGAGTCACAAGGTATATAGATAAATTAAACTTGTAGCACAAACAGGATTTTGGAAACTGTAAAATGAGACTAAGTAGTTATTGCAACAGTAATAGCTAAATTTTTCTTCAATTTAACTAGTTCAAATGTATTTAACTGGAAGGGAAACCTCAATTCAGGTTAAATGAAGTAGCCAAATTAAACAAAGTATCAAAATACTCATCTCTTCATGTCAGTGATCTTGTAGAGTTGCAAACTATAACATAAATAATTTCAGTTACAAAAGAAACAATTAGTTTTAGCTGCCACTTTTCTTAACTATGGCTGATACTTTGGCTTTTCCACCTCCATGTATGTCTTGCACAGTGGGAGACAGGTACCCTTCTGAAGCTCTAACAAACAGGGTCTTGGAGCAGTCCTATTTCCATGTACCTCCCAGCCCCAGCTGCAGCTGGCAGAGCATGGTCCTTTTCCAGGTGAAGGAGAGCAATGTTAGAGGCCCAGGGGCTGTGAAGTACTAAGGCACATCTCTCTGATGTAACGGAATCGTTACCTAATTTTATTTTTGTCAGAGATTTAATTCGTGTTTGTGTTGCAAAAGCTTTGAGTAAAAGCAATTTGATTGTGAAATTTGATAGCAGAATTAGCTTCTTAGAAGTCATTTGTGTTATTGACTATTAATTAATCATTTGCAGTTAAACTAAAAATTCAGTCTGGACACAACTGAGTAATACTAGAGTCGAAGCAGAGTTCTCAAGCACGTTGATCATCCAATCTTAAAATAAGCAGAGGGCCAGTGTCACTGCTGGCTTGAGGACAAGACTGCACACCCCTGAAAGGTGCTTGTCTGCTTAAAGATTCGAGCGTTTCAGAAAGCTCCATTGTTGAGACGACAGAAATGATTTGTATTGTGAAGCAAAGCAGATTTAGAGACACTTGTGCAAAAAACCTTATGGCAGCATGGCAAACTTTGATGGGTAAAAACCAGGATCTGGGTCACTGTCATAAAGCAAACAGCAGGAACCTTCATTTGGGATTCAGACATTTTTAAATGGCACCAAGTTAGTGACTCCAGGATTATCTGCTTCATCTGCTGGTTGGCATTTCTGGGTCAAAACTGAAGCTGAGAAACAAGAGCCGGGATGAAAATACGACATTTCTGTATGGCTTCCAACAGAAGAGGGAGGACTGCCCCATCTCTGCTGGGCAACAGTGCCCTCAGATCTTGCTTGCTGTTCTGACCTAGGAAATGTACTTTTCCACAATTATTTCTACTCTGCAGTAAGCATTGTTAAAAATAACTTTAAAGTCAGGCCTTAGCTTGTCACTGTATCACCCCTTACTCATCAGCTTCTTTTTAAAACTGGCATACACTGAAGCTTGTTACAAGCTAGTGCTATACTTAGATTTTTTTTTTTTCCAGAGAGAAATATTTTCAGTAAGAAAATATACCAAAAAAAGTCAATGGAGAGGACACTCTTTACCTTAAACAAGACATTCCTGATATACTTTGCCCCAAGACAACATGAACCAGGCAACAATAGTCTGAAATTAAAGACAACTTGTTTTTCAAAGCTACTTAGGGACAACATAAAAGAAGATTTAATGTAAGAGCAGGATGACTGAGAACTTAGACCTTTTCAGTTCTTTACGTAGCAGCTTTCATCTAATTTGTCATCAAGTGCTGGTCAAAATAAGCCTATTTATCAAAAATATTTTAATTTTTCAAGAGACATATAACCTGTTTCCAAACTTAGGCGTTAATGGGTTCTTTTTGGAAATTATAGCTAAAGTAAAAGCAGCTTACCATTTCTTTTTTTCATAGATTTCATAGATTTCTAGGTTGGAAAAGACCTTAGAGATCATCCAGTCCAGCCATCCCTAATCTCTCGTTAAACCATATCCTTAAGTAGTTCATCCACCCTTTTCTTAAACACATCCAGGGATGGGGACTCAACCACCTCCCTGGGCAGCCTGTTCCAGTGGCTGACAACCCTTTCAGAGAAGAAATACTTCCTAACATCCAACCTGAATCTCCCCTGACTAAGCTTATGCCCATTTCCTCTTGTTCTATCACCCAACACTAATGTAAAGAGCCCTTCCCCCTTTTGTCCCTTCTTAAACTCTTGCTTATTAAAATGAAGGTAAAATGAGAGCTAAACAATGCTTAGAGAGGGCTGCAGTTAAAAATACCAAGAATATTATTAAAAGTCATGCAGAGCTACGTGGAACAGTTTCCATCAACTGCCAATTTACTGTTTAGCCAGCAAATTTTATGGTCATGCTCAATGGATTAATATTCCACTTTTCTTAGAACGTTGTAAGATATTCTGAGGTATTATTTTTTACGTGTGTGTCTGGTTTGTATACTCCAAGTTCCTCTCTTCCCTGTCATAAGCACTCTCTGGGGGTTTTGCTTGCTGCAGGTAAGAAGCTGAAATGGCTATTGTGACATCATAGGCAGTTCAGAGTTGCACGTGTCCATGTCAGAATTCACAGGAAAGTATTTTACCTATCAAATTTCAGGCAGCAGTTTGGATGGAGGTAACAGTGGTTACAGACATCTTGTCTCTTCCCTCGCTAGACCTCCGCAATGTGTTCAGACAGAAGCCCTGTACTTACCTGCCTGCACAGAGAAACACAATCCCAAGCTTCCATTCCCAAGAACGGAAACTTGGCTTCCTTTCTTTCCATAAACAGAATGCTGTTCAAAAAATAAATTCTTAGATTAAAGCACCTATTTTTTTGTCACCTGCGGAGTTCAGCCAAGACAGCAGAACACTCCTGTCGAAGTAGAAACAGGTTCACAGAAAACAAAACGCAGAGGAAGAATGGTGCAGTGAAATAGCTCGACATACATCAGTGTGCGTATCTTAGTAAGTAGATGCTGCTGAAAGGTTATTACAGTAGAAGAAAAAACATCTTGTAAAGAATGTGACTTGAAACCTATAGGTTGTCATATCAACTGTGTTTTTACTTGAACTGCTATTACCTATCCCAGTAACTTTTAAAAAATTATTCAGAATGTCATTTTCTGAGTTTTTCAAATCTAGATGTACACGTCAGAACTACGAATTACTACATTAAATGATGACATTGAATCTTAAACCTAAAATTTAATTTATTTTATTAAAATAAGATAATCAGAGGAACCTTGGCTTACAATAAATGCATTTTCTCAGGAGCAATAAAAACAAAATTAAAACCCAAATCAGCAAGAAAAACTGTATATGCTCAGTTTCCCTCTTGATAGTGCATCTCTTGGACGACAGCTTCAGATGGGACGAAGACTCCGCTCACAATTCGCCTTTTCTCAGCCACGCAAGCCTGTCTTTCCGCGCTCACCACCTCACCGGGCTGCAAGAAACGAGTCAATAGTACCAAAGAAAGCTGCTCACACTACTGCAGGTGACCACAGCAAGGCTGGCTGGCTTCCTTCTCTGAGCAGTACAGTTCAGAATATATTCCATTCTTTTGCAAGAGTTTTTCTTCTATGTGCAAAACTATTGCAAAACTATTTTGTGTTGAATTAGCATTTGAACTTATTTCATTGGCTTGATGAAGGCTCTTCGGCAGGAGCTGATTTCCAGAGGTTTGGTTTGTTGTTTTTTTTTTTTTTCCTCTTCCCTCAGTCTTGTTTGCAGACGCCCATTTCAGGCAAAACTCCCCCAGCTTGAAGTGGCTTATGGCGCGGGGCAATCAAGGAGCACCATGACGCATCACCTTTCCTCAAACGCCGAGGCAAAGCCATCCTCGCGGTAAAAAACCCCCAATTCATCAACAGATTCAAATCAATCCAGAAACACTGCCAAAGAAACATCCATCGCTTCTGTGTATGGGAAAAATAAGGCTCAAGTGCATCTATTAAAAAAATAGTAATAGATCTCTTGATTTGTAGTCTGTTAACTATCCCAGTAAAAGAAACTGTAGAAAAAGGCAATGTGGAGCTGTGTCCCTGCAGGATAAGGACTGCAGAAATCCTTAGCAGCTTGTTCTTAAAACTGGGACGCAGATAATCCTGCTGGCACTGATCCTGTACACTGAGGCATTAAAAGCACAACTTCTGTTACTTCTGTTCCTTTCCCATCACTGGAGAGAACGAGGGGAGGGGAGCACGATCCTAAAACACGGGTAGCCTGGTGGATGTTAACGTGCATGAATTTATGTCCTCTGTGTGGGCGGCGCGATGCAGAGATGGTTCCGAAGCACTCCGGTTGATTTTGGGTAAAGAATGTTGCAACAATTCAATGGACGACAGTATCTGAGGGAAACACACAAAACGCAAAGGAGGATGGTTAGAGCTGCTTGTCAGCCTTAAACCTGCGTTTAGTGTGGCTTTGAGCAAATCTGCGAGTGTGCAGGCACTGAAAACACCACTCTAGGGGTGTGCTGCACAGCCTCCTTGCTCTGAGGAGTCGCAGAGGATGGGAGGGTGCTCTTCAGTAGTTTCAGTTCATTATCATCAATTAACAAGCATTATGCAAATCAACAGAGTAACGGAAAGAATTGCATCTTCTGCCTAACTGCTTAGAACACATTCAGAAAGAACACTTAAACAACAAAAATTATACTTGATTGTAACAGCAAGAAGGTATTTTTCCAAAATCTGCTAATAGTTAGTTCCAGCTATTTAAGGAGTACGAGAAAGTACCTTCATCATCCTCATAGTGACAGGGAAAGGTAAAGTAGCCTTTGTAAAAATACCAAAAATTGCTACATGAATTTAAATCCCCCAGCGGATTTTGTTTGTTCATAGTTGTGGTGGAAGGAAAGGAGGAATGGTCTCTCATTTCCCTCAAACCTGCACTAAAATAAAATGCAAATACAAAGACAGATTTGGTTTTTATTGTGTTAGGGGTGGTTTTTTTGCTTATCTCTACAACAAGGCAGCTGTTGAAAGCAAATTGCTCTAGTGCTAGTCTGACACAGCTTCAGTCGGCCGCAGAATATTTTTAACGACTTTACAGGAACGATGTACAATCCGAATTACAAACCGCCCAGGGGAGCCGGGTTATGAAAGATGCACATATGAGTGAACACAAAGTAGTAAGCAGGCTACACTTCGTATAAATCAAAACTTACAGCTGTGTAGAATGTTTTGTGTGCTAGTGGCTATTTATAAAATGCTCATGAGAGTTAAATGCAGAAAACACTCTTACTTGTGGAAACAGAGGTCGTTCTTCCCTAACCTTCTTCAAACAATCTGCTACAAGCCTCTTCATTGCTTTGGGGCAGTTCTTGTACAATTTACTGAGGTCTGGAGAAGCATACCCTCGGCCGACCATGAAAATAATCTGAAAAAGAAGCAGCAAGTAGCAGAAGACCGAAGTTGTACAAGTTGTTTCACTGGTTGATAGCTTTAGTGTCGCAAAGTGATTAAACATGAGTACCAAAGGCAAACACACCAGCACAGCCTTCTAGATTTGTCCAAATTAGTTAACCGAAACAGGAAAAAAAAAAAAAAAAAAAACCACGAAAAGGGGTTTGGTTTGGTTTGAGACAAAAAATTAAAGATGTTATTGGAAAAAACAGTTTCTGTTTTAGTCCAAGTTAATATGGGCCTCACTTAGGATTTTCATCAGACTTCTCGTAACCTTAATAGTTGACTAGTTAGTATTGCTAAGACTATTATTATCTGGTAAAATGGTGGTAGGTTTGGTTGGTTGAGGGGAGTTTGTTTCTTTGAGGGTTTTGTTGGGAGGTGGGCTGGGGAGGAGGAGTAAAGAGAAATAACTGTGCTGCTGTTTCTTTTTCAACTACTGTTGTCTCAAAAAAAACCCAAATAAAACCTCAATATAATGTTGCTAAAATAAGGTCTCGGTGGTGTTCTCCAGAAAATATTCCCTGGAAAACTTACTTGAGGAGCAAGTGTCGCATGTTTTGCGACAGTAATGATTATTAAAGCTTGCATATCATTTCAATATTATGAATTAAAAGACATTCCAACATCCCAGTTTGTAGACAACCTTAAAAATAAAAAAACCCTTCCTTATCAGAACAGGCCCCTTCTACTCAGAATACAGACTATATAGCATAATAGGGGCTAAAATTTAGCAGTTTGTCCCCATACACACACACTGCTCATGATTAGATCTTAATTAAAAGCAAACAAACAACCAACCACCAAAAAACACAAACCACAACTGAGGATCAGCAAAACAGAGATCAAAGAGATCTAACAGTTCATGCCCTACAGATGAGTTCGCTCGACACTTGCTAAGCCAGAGAAAGCATCATGTGAAGAGAACAAGCGAGGTTTCTGCGCTTCTTTAGAATTACTGGTTCACCGACTTGGTAAGATTACAACTTACCAACATTCAATGCTAAGAGGTTTGACAATAGCCACTGGTTTTTTCCACTTACTAAAAAGCACAAAATCCAATCTTGCTGATGGAAGAACAGCACGTTTAACATCAAACCAAAAATTTCACATAACAACAAATATATAAACCAAGATTTTACTGATGTAGCAAAAACTTTAACCCATAAATAAATTAACAGGGCACTTAAAACATTTATAGAAAAGATATTTTTTTTCCCTTGAGTAACTGTCACTGTCAATATTTAAGTAAACATTCAATTACACAGATTTACTGCTGGAACGAATCAGGTTGTAAAAAAACATTTCAATTTTTGTTTTGCATTTGTCTTTATCTTACTCTTGACAACAAAATGTACTACGCCCAGAAATAAAATGTGGTATTCTAGAGAATGTTCCTTACCTGATCGCGGTTATTTATGTGGGAGTATGGCAACTCCCCTGTCATTAGTTCATATAATACTATTCCATAGGAGTAGACATCTGACTGAAAACTAAACGGGTTACTGTCCTGCATCCGTATCACTTCTGGTGCCTGCAGAAGGCAAAAAGAAACAAATGAAGAGCAATCACTGAAACAGAAAGCAGAGTGAGCTCCACCAAGAACTAGCGCACAAAGGACACCACAAGACCTCTGATGACTTTTACCTAAGGCTCTAGAAAAGTCCAGTCAGTGCTACTCTACATCTTATTAAAAAAAAAAAAAACCCAATAAAATTCAGAGTACACAAAAAAGCAACACTTTAATTCAACAAGTATTTCACCATTAGAAAAATAGCTATTACTCTCATTTGCAATACGTACTGACTTTTGTTACGTCTTACACACAACCGAGTCTGAGCCTCTCGCTACCGGCTGCTAAACAAGTACCAGTGTTAAAGGGGAAAAACACAAAATCGTCATACAGACTTACTCTCTTGTGAAATTGATACTAAAGCATTTACATGAAATGTGAAAGCCAAATATGAAACAGCAAATACTGAAGATGAGGGAACAAACGCAAGAGCATTCTCCCATCTTTGCAAAACAAGGCAAAATTATGAAGCCAAAGAACTTAAAACAAACAGTGCTGAATGATTTAATAAAACAAGATAGAAACCATCAAAATATCTTTTCCATTGACTAAGATTTTTTTCCTCTGAAGAAGACCCTCAGAATTACTGAGAAAAGTGCTAGTTAAAGTAGGATAACAAAAACCCTGTGAGGATTGTAGCAACTTCCAAGGAAACCTCCCCTTCTACATAATGACAAGTCCGCAAAGATGGTCTGCAAATGATTAAAATTAAAAAAACTGCAAAGAGCAAAAACAAAGGGTTTTTTTCCAAGATCTGGTTCATGTATATAGGCATACCATTATGTAAGTTAGTTTTTAAATCCTTTTATGGAAAGCTGTAAAAAGCTTTGGCTTTTTCTATTTATTTTTTTTACAGAAAAAACTTTTTCTGGTTTTCTAACTTTGCTTCAGGCGATTTGTGTATTTTATAGGTCACAAACCAACCTTGGCCAAGTACCCTGATATTCTGAAGGAACACTGCCTGACTTTTCTCAAAATACAGAATCCTTGTGCAACAGTGAAGTCTGCAAGCACAGTAATAAACAATTTTTTAAAAGGAAAACCTGTTTCAAGTAACACCTGCAGCTCATTCAGTGCTAAATATCAAAAAATTTCAGATGTGCCAATATGCAGCATTCAGCAAGTCATCTTTATTTGGTTACGCTTCCCTGAAGTACATGCCACAAACGTTGCTGTATGCCCCATCCTGGGAGCTAGAAAATACTGGTCATCAGTGTACATGCTGAATTCAAGTAAACTGCATAGTATGAACAAAAATGGGTCAAGTGAAACTTCAACAAAATATTTTATTTTAGCACTCAAATAAGATGTTCTTGCATAATTTTAATTATGCGTTTTAACCTGGCAACAGGCACTGTTCCACTTTTTCCATTTACTTTACTGAAGTCCCACATTTGAAAAGTTACTTAATAGATTTTCTCCAGGTGATTTTTGGAAGGAAAATTGTGGAACTGCCTTGTAAGTTCTGGCAGAAGCTAAACATAAAAGCAATTGTTGGGAACCTCCTCTCAGACAAGGGCTTTGCAGTACCACTTCCAAAAGAAGCTCCATAAACTTTCCAGTAGAACTTGAGAACTTTGACACCTAAACTGACATTCGTCTGCTACAGTTCTCAGCTGCCTCAAAACCTCCTGCAGCAACCAGGTGCAGGGTAAGCAGCAGCAGTGGGCCTCACAGCGTGATCTCGGTACGTGTGGAGCATCTCACCACGGTGCCGAAGACATTCTCGTGCTTCAAGGACTCCCTGTCCTCCCTGCCGAAGCTGCTGAATGTGTGACCAGCAAGTGTGTGTGAGTGAGAAGGGCTGCTGCCAAGTCCCAAGCAAGGAGCAGAGGAAGAAGCAGCTGTGGTGAAGAACATAGTGAAAGACAGGGTCTCACCAATCTCACAAAGCCACTGTTAAGCAGATTAAAGCCGCTCTCCAGCCTGACAAACCCATCTGGGACAGGCAGGATTACTGTGGGAGAAAGGCTCTCTTCGAACAGCTCCTTGCAAATCCCACCGACAGCCCTGTCTCTGCCCCAAATGTTTAAAATAACTCCAAAAGTCACGAGGAGAATCCTTAGGTGAATGGTGTCTACTTTGGACAACAAGCACTCCAGCCTCTTCAATTTTAACTTACCCTACAACTGGAAGAAAAGTCTCCATGGTACTAACAGCATATGTTGATTCATTTAGATTTAAAGCTTTAAAATGTTGTTCATCTGACAAAACATGCATTAATAGAATGAAAGCCAGCTATTGAAAAGCAGTGAAATGTTTTGCTCACCATCCACAAGATTGAACCAGTGGGCTGCTCCACCTGCTGAGATCCACTCCACCTGGATTTGACAGTTGCCAGACCAAAGTCTCCTATTTTCACTGTGAGGCCTTCATGAAGAAATATATCTAAACATTTGTTAAAGAAATTCTGTAGAAAACTTGAGTAAACAAATCTGAACTTTCTGAAACGATGACAAGTGTCTGCAAGCCAACTATCCAAGAATATTGCCGATTTTTTTTTTTAAACCTGCTATAGAAGTTGTAGTTTAAACAGAAGAAAATTAATTTCCTCACATCCACGTTTACAGAATTAACATTTAAGCCTAAACAAGACCAGACATTTCAGCATTATTTGTACATTTATCTTTACGGTGAGTTCGGATAGAAATCAACTGTGTTAATTAACATCAATGACTGCAGGAACTTAAATAACTGGCGTCAACAGACACCCAGTGAGGCAACACAGAAGTCATCACAACTCAAAAAAAGAAAACTAGGAAAAAACAGTTACAAGCAGAAACAAATATAAAATCTATCTACATAAAGCTCTCTGGCAGATGTCCTGAGATTTAACTACGATGTAACTATTTCCACTGGAAATACACAGGTCTCTAATATTTGTAATCTATATATGTTTGCCTGTTCAGAGTGATAGCTAAGACTTTCTCTGTGGGGGTTATTTTAGGAAGGTATCACTTTACAATTTAATTTTAAAACGGTCTAAGTTCAAAAAGATAATTAAGACACACAAACATGACAAACTCCTAGTTTTCATTTCCATGTCAGGAGAAGAGTTAACTTACTTCACAAAAAGTTATCGTTATCAGGAATCACAAACTCCTGACCTCCTACATACTGAAATGATTATTTTTCCTGCTTAACTGAAAATGGGAATTCCATTCCATTCTGGAGCTACTGAATTTGGCATGGTTTTTTGTGATGACACTGTGTTTGCAGCTACAATTTATGCTACTAGCTCAATGGATGCTGCTCTTGGCAATTTCAAAAGCAGGCATCTTCAAAGGCCAAAGACAGCAGTTCACAACATTTTTACTCCATATGCATTACTAAATTTATAATTTTGGAAGAAAGAGTGGTAAAAGGTTGCCTTTTATTGAGTTTAAAGTAAGATTTTTGGCTTCATTTCTGCCAGCCAGGTGAAGGTGTTTCAAATTTACTAAAAATATATGGGAAACAGTAACAAAACCCATGTGTACACACACATCAGCATTGCACATGCATCTCCCATCAAGTGCAGAGTGCAGCTTCTCTCCAATATAGCATTTGGATAACAGAATTGCATAAACACCATTCAAGTCAAATAAGAGACTTCTGGAGCACAACTGTTGCACATCTTTTTTCATTGTTACCACAACAGTGTGCTAAGCAAGCACGTATGTTCTATGAAAGTCCTTGCTAAAAAGTAACTTCTTACTCATTGTTAGGAGTTACTCATTAGTTACATACATTTGAAACAGCTATTTCAGCCCTCCAAAAAGCTCCACATTAAGAACAAATCACTCTCACATTAAAGGAAATACCATTAAGTCAGGAAAGGATACTATTGGATTTCATGTCTCTGTGGATGATATTCTTTGCATGTAAATAGCTGTGAAAGAAAAAGCAGAAAAGAGTCACTATGAAGGCTGCTCACAGAAACTTAGCTTTTCAATTTACTGATAGACTCCGTGTTAGTTTATTACATACTCAACCCTTTCGGAGGTCTCTTGCTTTCGTCAATTTATGGGATGCGTCTGCTTTGGCAAAAAAGAGAAACGTAGGAAGCGCTAGCTGACGACAAACTACTGCATTAAAGCAAGCAGAAGCAATGCAGTAAATACATCTCAGGAAGAGAAAGAGTGGCATCATTGCTAGGTAACTATATAATGAGCTCGAAACATGGATGCGGTCCTCATATGCATGAAATTTGTGTGCTATGCTAAGGTTTGCTTTCACAAACTGCAGTAATTTGCAGTCACAATGTATATTTCTAGTTTTCTGGGTGTTTGACTGGAAACCTGGGTCCTGATCTACAATACATAGAAGCACTGACAGCGTCAGCCAACGTCACCAACTTCTACGCTACGAACGTTGTAACGCGTTCTCAAAAAGAAGTGAGGTAGTTACGTATCAACTCAGACATCCAGAGAATGCTTCCAAAATTTATCTGCCTGTGTTGTGAGTCCTGTAGCTGTAGAACAGGAACAGCCATCCCCTCATCCCACAGAAGTACCATGAGTACTAATTAGCGTTTGCCAAACACTGCAATGTTATAGTAGTTAACACAGGGAAGAACGAAAAAAGTTGATTCTATGTTTAGAATAGGATCTCATCTACTGCAGTACAGAAAGGCCTTCAATTTACAAAAGAAGATAAAATACACAAAAGCTGTTAAAGTGACTGGTGGTCTAACACAAACTAAGACAACCTATGGGGAAAAAAAACACTAAATGAAAGTAAGAATGCATAGAACGGTGCTGAATTCGGGCTGCTCAAAACCTTTACTTGGCATACCATTCTGACCCCTTATTATTTTAGCACAATTAACTCCATTATTAGGGTTGGGAGAAGAGAAAGGAAACACCATTCCAAGAACAAAAATAGCCAGCATTGTTTATCCTACTCACTCCATTCCCTGCGCTGTCTGCCGAGCAATATCAATCAGCTGGAACATTTGGAACTTGGTCTCTTGAACATGCAGGTGTTTATACAGACTGCTTCCTTCACACCACTGCGTAACAATGGCCAGATTATCTTTAGTCATGTAGCCCATAAACAGCAAAATATTAACATGCCGAGTCTTCCTAATAGAAAGTAGCAGAAAGAGAAATTAGTATCTTTATAAAAAATGTTTTCAAGTTCTTTTAGAAATGTATTCCTGGCTGAAGGAACATATTTCAGCTTTTGAGTCCAAAAACATGAGTTTCCTGCGAAATTTTTGCTAAGTGGATATGTGTGTAAAGCTTGTTTTTGAAAATAATGAAGATACGCCACAGTTGCCAATTTATAATTTTTAAATAAAATCAGCTGATATTCTGCTTTTTAGTCAAAATACTTCCTTTCAGTTCCAAGGAAGTTATTTAAAAATGAACCTTTACCAAAAGATGTCAGGAAAATTCAAGGCTTTTGAAATTAGTAACCAATATTCATGCTTGCATGTGGTATTAGAAAAAGTGATTGGAATAACAGAAATGACCCCGAAAGCTGTGAAGAAGTGACAACTTTAGACAGAAGACTAAATCCCAATAGGAACCTAAAGGGGCATTATGAACTGTGAAGGAATTCACAGATGAGAAGATAGACTGGCTCAGTTTCAGGATTAACATTACAGATAGTTAACTGAATGCTAGAAAACTAGTATTTGAAAGCAGAAAAGTTATGTAGATCAGAGCACACTTTTTTTTTTTTAAAAAAAAGGAATTATTCTACAGTTTTGAAAGGCACAGTTCAAGTACTCTGTCCAGTGATGAGAATCACGGCAGAATTTATGAATCTGCACCTTTTACTGCACGCCAAACATGATCTGAACAATGTTCATATCATTTGTCTGAAAAGGCAACTTTCAGAAACAGTGAGGAACCACTGAAATACTCTGAATTATGATTGCTGTCTCTCAGCTCCACAATATTTGGAAGTGTCACTATATGCTCTGTTGTTTTGGGTTTGTTTTTTTGTTGTTTTTGTTTTTTTTTCTCTGAAGACCTGCTTTTCGTGTCCATCAAACACAGAATATTGATTGAGATGGCTTAAAGGAGGGGTAGTAGTCAAATACAGTGCCTTGGAGGAACAGAACTTAGCAACAACACAAGTTCTTTTAAAGTACCAACTTACCTTAACACAGCCACTTCATTTCTGAAAGCCTGGAACTGTTCTGGGGTTGGATCTACAACCTTTAGTATCTTCACTGCTACATCCCCTGAAAATACATTTACCATGAAAGTTACTAAAAATGCAATTTTTTTTTTCCCCAAAAATAACATTAATACACAGTATACTTAAAATTCCTGATTTGTGAACAGTACACCTCTACTAATTTGTACATAGGTGAAGATTTTCCTGCAGACATATAAACTTCCGTAGTATCAAGCAATTCATTTACCTGAATTTCAGTCTAACGAGAAAAGTCATTAATTATTCACATGCTTCCCTTCTACTTTTTTAAAAGCTATGGCTGGCTGGAATTACACGTATGCTTTTTGCAGGATATGAAGCTACTAAAATCTCAAATAGTTGTTGAAAAGGAAGGTACTCTAGTGTGGCTGCATTCTCAGCACATTATTTCAAGCATAGTCACATCAGACTCTCGGCTTCCAAACAGTATCCAAAGTTTCATCCCTTCCCCTTTTCTATCCAGCTTTAGCACACATATCTATACACTTTTACATTTTTCTATAATTAGTTTTATCTATTAAAGTTTTTACATATATATATAAAAATTACATACATACATACACATCCTTTTTTAGTATAAACTTTATTTAGAAAGCAAACTTTCCAGAGTTAAATTCTGCGAAATTTCAGGAATGAGAAGGATAAATCTTCTATCCAGGAACAGCAGAAAAATCGTGAATGATACAACTGATTTTAGTATTTCAGTAATGAATTTGGGGACTATGGAAAGCAGAGTGAGTATCTTACTGTTCTTTAAGCTGATACATTATAAAATTTTACTTAAAAGCTTCATCCGAATTGCTTTCAGTGTCAGTGCTTGCTTTAAATTTCAGTATCTGTCAAAGGGTAATACAGAGAGGAATATATGATGATCCAGTGCCATCTGTTTAGAGAGCATTTCCAGAGAACAAAGTTGTCAAAACCTTTACTGTGTACATCCAGAAAACAGTAGAATTGAACTGATTAAAAAAAAAGTACAATAGTGGAATGAAGCCGACTGGTCTAACAAAGGTGAAAGCACTAACAGCAAGACCCATCGATGCCTCGGTGAAAGAAATAAATATCATTTTAACTACAGATGGACAGCGTTTTAGAATTCAAGAGGGGGGTGAGCTTGCCTTGACACTGTCACAGGAAGGTAAGAGCACATGCAGTAAAAAGATTTGAGAGATGCTATACTCCAACACTGGCTTATCCCATAGTTTAGCATTACAGAATCCACCTACATTATATTCTAGACACAGGGATTTTTTTTTTTAATCATCAACTGAATACCTTAGTAATACTAACCACTCAACTGAAAACAAGTGTTGCCAACAAAGTATGAGAAGGACATGCAAACTGGTACGTGAAAGTTTCAGGGTACTCTGAGTGAACTGCAGCATCTTCCACTGTAGTTACCACTTGCTTAATTTGCTGCATAATTTGAAGCCACAAAGATGCACAAATATTAATCACATTATGATACATTTCTATCTTCTTCCTTTAACTTCAGTAAATGCAACATACTTCCTATTTCATCCTCTAGCATCTTCATAAAGAGAACCACCTCACTTTTGCAGTCTGCATAATGTTCTATAACTTACAGATCTCTCTGCTTACAGGCCAGAACTGGAGAAGATAACTGGTAGAAAGATTCCACTTTCACATGACTACCAAAATCACAGGCTTTGGAGCAGCCAGTTCCTACTGCAACTCCTGCTGCCACACAATGCAAGACCAACAGACGGTCTACCAATACTTGAAGTATACTGCTATGGGCCAGGCCAAGACAGAGCAAGGATGCAGCATCTGCTCATTACAGGCCAAACGATTTCAGATTATTTTTCAACATATTCTCCATTATGATCCTTGCTCCATGGATGAAAAGATATTTTCAACCTTACACTGTTCTTACTGAATCAGGTGCCACATTTTTTTTTTTTTTAGGTTTGATGGCATTTCCAAAGCAGTTTTCTCTGCAGAAACAAATACACAATAGCACTTGTTTTGTTTAGCAGCAATCTGAAGACAAATCAGCTTCCGCCACCCCCCAACCCCCAAAACCCTAGAACTAATTACCAGGGTCAAAGGGGAAATGTGAGTGTTTATGATAGGTAGTCTTCCAACCCATTTAAACTGCCTTGGTTCTCTTTCCGCCTTTTAAATTTAGAAGCATGCTACAGGACACTACAGGATCCAAATGGGGTCTGTAACAGAAGCGGTGCAAATACGAAAATTAGTACTTAACCATCAGAACAATCTGGAAAAATATGGAAGTGCAAGACACCTGTTCAACGAGACACACGCTCCTCAGAGCAAGACTGTCCTTGACACTTCATTTTTATTTTGGAAGCCTAAATCAGGGAAGCTTATTGGAAATCTGGTACGGTTTGCATAGCGTTGTACACAATCTTCCACAGGTTTTCTCCAAAGGTTCACTGCAAACAGCCCTTCATAGTTGGGCACGTGAGGAAACTCAACACCTCTAACTTAATCTGGAGTTTCTACTTAAGTTTGCAGCAATCTGCCCATTTCAATTAATTTCATTTAGCTTCACCAATACATTTTTATTGCTGCATTTGTACTGTCAGAATAAGTTACTACAAAGAAGTCTGCAGTTCCACTAATTTGTGCACTGTGAAGTCCCAGTTTCTTTAAAACAGCTAAGACTTGCAAGAAATATAAACCCTTTAAGACCACCTCACAAATGATAGTTACAAAAAAAAAAAAAAAGAAAAAATTTTTACTAATTTAACTCCAACTTTCCTGAGAAACCTGGAGAACTATAAACAGTAACCACAAATAAGAATTTTATCAAGTTAGGTGACAGATATACAGCCACCTTGTGCACACAACTGAATATTTTTTCTAAGTACGGAGCTCAACGTATTTCCTATTCAACAGAGGAAGAATCAAGGTTCTTGATACACAAAGAGTACTTATTAACATGAAATTCAGGTATATTAACAAGAAATTCACATTTTTTACCTTTTTTAGCGAAATCTTACTTAACCTATTTTTCCTCTTGATTGCTGTGTTCCATTTCACTCATATAATAAAAATCAGTTTAACAGCTCACGGATATGACTTTTAAAATAAGAACAGTTCTTTCATTGATGCTGACAATATTTGGGCTTAAAGACATGGAAATATTTATTTTTAAAAAATAGAGAGTGGAAGATAAGTTTCCAGATTTTTTTGTCAGCTTATTTTATGACAATAATGCTATTTAAATTAGAGCCCGGAGGGTTTGTGTGTGTTTCTTTTTAAATCATAAGCCCTGAATTTGGAAACTAATTCTGTAGTTCTGCAGTGTGCCTCTTTTCAAAGTATTCCAGCTAATTTTACATCATAAACTCTTACATCAATCATTTTTTCCTTAGGAAAAACTCCACAGTAAACACAATTTATGTTTATTTCCTTTCCCTGTCACCTTGAATGTAAGTATCCTAATTAAACCGGAGGTATTTAAAAAAAAAAAAAAGGTAAATATAATTTAGCATCAGGCTGTGAAATTTCCCAGCTAATTCTGCTAATTGGATCCTGCTAATGGAAAGCAGTATCTTTTCTGAAAACAAGCTGCTGTAGAACACAGTAACAAGAAAACTATGCTGACTCTAATATAATGAACATGTAGACAGCAGTTGTAAGATCCAGATTTTGATGTCTGTTCTTTGCCTTAATTTTCCCACTGCTAATATTAGGAAATTAATATTTGTCACCTAGTACCTTTGCTGGTAGATAAGCACACAGCACCATTAAAACAATTTTACCTTTTTCTGGATTGCTGTCCTACAGTATGAACATTTTGAGAAGACAGTAACACTTGCCAAGAACTTACCATGCCATTTGCCTTTGTAAACTGTTCCAAAAGAACCTGACCCTATTCTGGTAGAAAGCATGACTTCACTTGCTTCTATTTCCCAGTAATAACTGGAATCTCTTTGTCCACGAGGCCTCTGGAAGAAAAATTGACATGGCTTTACTCAAAGGATTTAATCAAATACGTTATATACACACACACCAAGAATGAAACAATTTCTTTCACACAAATTTAGCAGGCACTGAAACCTTGAGGGGTTTGGACTTCTGTTTTTCTCCTCAATTTGTGAGGGGTGGTGGGTGTTTTTACCAAAAAAACATCGAGATCTTAAGAGGAAGAAATATTTTATAATCAACTATTTAAAAGACATCTGAAATACTGACAAAACTTACTGACTTTTTCAAAATTACAATACTGAGACTCAGGAACTCATTTACATATTTAAAAGGAATAAACCAAAAAGATGAGAGCAGAATTCTCAAATGTCTAAGTGTTAACAATGGTAAGTCTCACTAAGCAACTGTGCTTCCATTTTTAAATCTTATAAGCCCTCAAAAAATTTGAGATATTATTCATTATTATTCTAACTTTTCTTCCCCTTGCCCCAAGTTTAAATCAAGCTTTTGAGGGAAAACTTGCATTTTGTTAAATCTGTTTTCCCCTGAGACATTTTGACTAACTTTACTACGAAAATGACAGCATTATCAGTATCCATTTCCTATGGAAGCTATGGCAATGCAGTTCAAACAGTTTTAACAAGGCTAACTCTAAACATATTAAAAAAAAGAATAAAAAGAGATGCAGCCCTAAAGCCCTGCTGTCTTTCTGAAGTTAGTCAAAATTATATTGCTACTATATACACACAGTGCAGAGCAACCCAAGATTACCACCAGCTTGTATTGCCTTTTAAGTACAGAAATTTATCCCAACAGACCACTGATCCCAGCCTAGTTTAATATATTTTAAAAAAACTCAAACAAAACAAATATTACCATACTTACAATTTTGTTTTTTTCTTGTGTATTGGATCCAGGGGCTCGCTCTCTTTGGGCTGGGACTGGGGTTTTGGGCTGAGCCCAGCCAGTGGGGCTCATATTGTTAGGGCTTCCAGACAGAGCAGAGGGTGAAGCTTAAATATAAGAATAAACATAAATATATTTATGAACCAGAAAACAAACACAAAATAATACTATATATTATTTTATTTTTGGAAGCCATACCTGATTCACTATGGCTTCGAATTGCATCCTAAAACAGAGGAGACAGATAATAAAGTTAATAAATATACGAGAACATACAAAAGAACAAGCAGGAACAGCATTGAAATAATTCCTGACAGTTTTGGTCAAGTGTGATACAGCATTGACCAACACCCTCCAAAAGATGACAGCTTAGTTATTTTCTAGTTACAAGAATCCTATATGCTAAAAAACATGCAATTTGTGAATTCTTACAAAACATTAAAAATACTCAGAGCATATTAATAGGTATTACTACCAAAAACGGGGAGGGGGGGGAGGGGGGGGAGACACGGAACAAGAAGAAACACCAGAAATATTGTCTGCATTCCCATCACTGGACTGTTGTACATGCTTGTGTTTCAGATCTGAACACAGCTCCTGTGATAGTGCTGTATCTCCAGGGGACAAGTTCTCAAAAAGGTTTTGGGTTACAAGTAGGAAAACTTTTAAAAGCTCCTAAAATATTCTAAGTCAATACGCATTTGGAAACGTCTCTGCCATACTACTTTATCCCAAAAAAGGCTACATCTTGTGCCCTAATACAAACCCATCTAATTTTCCAAACATTTTTCCACAGATTAAAGTTTGACGATGACATTTGAAAAGCATGTTCTTACACAGTTCACTAGCTGGTACAGTGCAACAACTCTCACCTCATGCCACAGGCACTTTACACCACAATTCTACAGCCATGCACAAGATAAACTAAGCTCTGACAAACATGACTTCACAACTTTTCTCACCTGCTACGTATTATCCCAAAGTACATACAGGGAAGGTAAAATATCCAGGTACTGTATAAGTACAAAGCAAGAACATGCACTACAGAAATGTTAAATACTGACAAAGTTAATAGAAGTCAATTCAAGCTTTCTAATTAGTAGAACAATCAACGTAAGATTTCATAGGAGGACAGAACAAGCCTACATTCCAGCACACAGTTTTCAAATTAACTTAGTAAAGATTCATTTATGAAACACATCATTTTAGCTGGTTAGTTGCATTCTCCCAGGCTTGACTCTGTACACACAGTATTCTTGCAGAGCACCTCTACTCTTTGCCTGAGTGGATTAAAATCTGCATAAACTACCAATGAAGAACTCTTGCAAGTTACTGCTACTGTCCATTTTGAGGATAACAAAAAACTTTAAGAACCTGAACTAATAACAAGTGATGGTTTTTGTACATCAGCCTGAGAATGTAACCGCTTTCAAGTAAGCTGGCAAAGGATAACTGAAGACTTTAAAATTGTTCTCATATTTATGTATACGTGATTCTTATTTAAGAAAAAAGTCTTTTTGCACTTCAATCCTGATGTGAATATTTTCTTTTTTGCTTATGAATCCTAGAGCAAATGAACCAAACTCAGCATTCTTCAGATTTTTTCTTACAACACAAATAATATCATACACAGTGCTGTAGTCTTGTCACTTTTACTTTGGTGTGAAATAAAAATAGTACGTCGTGTTGTTAATCTAAGGGTTCTGTACAGTTATATTCAACAAAATAGTTTCCAGAGGTAAAAAGCCACACAACAGATGTGTTTGAGAAGGTTTTACTCTAAAAACTCACATCAAAATCACATCAAATTTCGTAGTAGGATAGATTCATCCAGCTAAAATAAAAACAAAGCTCTTCTATCAATTTGTCTCTTCCAGTTAGTGTCCTCAATATTTGAGTATAAACATGCTATAAAGATTTTCATCAAATCAACTTCAGATTAACCATTTCATGTGGACACTGCCATGGCTTGCAAGTTATAGCAATCCTGTTAATGACAAGAAAACGAAAGGCACCAAGAAAATACCTACTCTTCCCCTCAAACAAAATCGTCTGCACCAGGAACTGGGAGAAGCATTCAGGCTGTTATTCTAGGCCAACACAGTAAGAGATAAAAGAAAAGAACAGAGGAAGTACAAAAAAAAATTAAAAAAATTAAATGTTAGGATAAATGAAAGAAAAAGTAACCCAATTTGTTTGATATATGATAAGTAAGTGCAGTAAAACTTCGAAGCAAGCATTCCTGTTCAAACTCAGAATTTCCCTAGTGTCCATCCTTTGGTAAACCACTTTATTAGAGTGGTCTTTCTTGTGTCATACTAGAAGGTCTCTACTATTTTTTTTTTTGTGGTGTGCTTTTTTTGTTTTAAACTTTTTTTTTTTAAAGCCTTTTAGAAAAGCAACTATTGCCTTTAAGACACGACAGCTATTTTTTTCAGTCCCTGTGATATTAAGAAGCAGCAGAATAGAAAGCACTTCTTTCTTTACTGCTGTGCGTAAAGGATAAAGAAAGCAATGTCTCCTTAAAGGCTCATCTCACAACAAAGTCCGATAATTGATTTCTTTCTTGAGTGCTTCATTATTTTTCGTGCCATAAAAGATGGTCAGCCAGGCTGCTACAGCAGTAAAAAAGGCTGTAAGCCTAAGAAAGAGAAAGAGAAAGGGAGGGTACCTTTCCCCCATAACACCCAGCTGCCACAAAGCTTTTAACCACAAAAGCTTCATGTGGCTGCAGTGCCCTTTTCTTCAGTTCCACCAAAGGTCCAGAGGACTTTTCTAGCACATTTCAGAGGTTTTCGTGTTTCATAGAAGCCTATAAACTACCAGCTGAAGATGCAAGTAAATTCCACAGTCAAAGGCTCTGGCTTGGCCCAAAGAGTTTTTAAACTATTCCGGAGAAAAAAAAACCAACACAACAGTGCTCTCTCTGAAGTCCTGCAGTTCAGCACTTTCTTGCTGCAAGCCTTTCCTGCACACCACTCCCTTATTTTGTTAAAGTTATCACAAAACAAACAAAAAACATTTTAGGCCTGACTTCAAAGAACAGTCTCTCACTACTGCCAGCCTAAGGTAGAGAGGAAAAAAAAAAAAAGAAGGTGCTTGAAAGCAAGTAACAGAAATATTCTCAGACAGATGGCTTTAGCACACAAACCCGGAACTGCTGTTAATTCCATACAGGTGTAATACAACACAGATTACCAGTAAGCTTTGACTTGAGTATTCCAACTCAAAGAACTACATCCAGACTTACAGTACCTGAAGTCTGATTTAAAATAAACACCAGCCCCCCCCAACAAATTCAGATTTGTAGGTTTAAAAGAACACTTTTAGACATGCCTAATAAGTATTTCTTCAGCAAAACTGAGCTTATTTTCTTTTCAGATCTGTGCAACTTGGTGGTTAAGCTCCCCCACATCTTTACAGACACCAAAAATGTATCTAGAACTTTGGCAAAGTTGATGAAGACTGCAAGACCGAACTATTAACTTTCTAAGCAAATGTGTCACCTTTGTTCTTCATCACTCAGCCTGCTAAGGCAAACAGTAAGCTAATGACAAAGCAAAGAAGAAAAAGCAACCAGTGACTATGAGATTGCCAGTCACGATTTTAGTTTAACTTTACTCCATTCCCTCCCTACAGACATTACCTCAATTATCCGGCTGTCTACAGGCATTGTAGTGCTAACCATATGGACATTTGGTGTGGAAGTAGATCGCTGTCTTTGGGAAAGGGAGCCCTCAGAGGAAGGATTTGATGTGTTGAATGTGAAGGCATGAGGTGTAGAATACCTGTGCTGGGAACTGAGAAGGAAAGAGAGAGAAAGGAAAAGTTATGGATATTTTTTTCTCCTCTAGCAGTTGAAAAACATTCTTCAATGTAACCTGTTCAAAAGCAATATAGACAGAATTCCAAACAGAAGAAGATGGGATTTACATGCTAACTACAGTATTTGGTCAGCTGAATCTTTCCCAGTTTAACTTAGGAAATAAATTTAAAAACTTGAAGCAAGATCTTGTCAGTTCACACACTTATCTAGCGTGTTTAACGTACGCCTATTTCTGCTGTTATAAAATCCACCTCAATCCCCATCAAATCACAGTTAATACGCTGATAACATACTGGCTCTGCTGGACTAACTCAGGTCTGTGAAATTTAAGCAAACCACTCATTTCAACCCTGTAATGCGTAGCTTAAGAGCTACTTTTACTGCTAAGCCCTGAATTTGTAAAGGTTTGCAAGACTGTTCAATGGTTCGCACAGAACAGCCAGCAAGGAAGTCATGAAACCCAACACCAGTTAAAAGGAGGCCAACACTAAAGTCCAGTTCAACACAGTTATAAATCACAGCTAAGGTCACTCAAGCCCTATTTATCCCAAACCACGAAAGTATCTTAACTGAAATCAGCCAGCCTTTGCAAAAAGCTTAAAAAAATTACCAAGTTAATGAGTCATTGTTCGACAACACTGGAAATAGAGACAAAGGGAACATAAGATCAATTTTTGACGACGTTCTGACTAAAATAAATACATAGAACCATTTGCAAGTCAGCTACGTGCTCTGTGTCTCATTCCTGAATAGGCCAACGTTTTTCAAAGGGATGTAGAAAAAACAAAAGATGGCCTGCCCTCTTCGGCCTCTAGAATTTCAAGGAAAAGAATACAGGCACAAATTAGGATCAGAAGACAGGACTCTTTGAAAGGAAAGCAATTTTTATTCTATCGTTTACAACTACATGAACATTCTCTTTAGAGTGTTCTTTTAGAGGAGCGTATTTTCAGTTTCCATTGTTCTCTCTTTAAACTCTTATCTGTCATCGTAACATCAGAACATTATTTTAGTTTACGTGTGCGAGTAATGCAAAACGAGTCATGAACCCTTACATCTATACTACCTGATCAAAGTAAATACAATTAATTCACAAAAACACAATAAAAATTTGTTAGGCAGGAAAACAAAGGTCTCCAGAAAACCTTTAATACTCTTCCTTAAAATCTTAAGACTAAAAATTAAAAATCCAAAATCAATGTTTTGCTTGAATCTAAGAACAAGAAAGGACACTGTATATTATCTATGATGAAGTGGTGTTGCCTTCTTGCACATTTGTCCCAACCTTCTATATGATTGTTCCATTTTTGAGGACTCAGGGGTGTTTGGGTTGGTTTGTTTGTTCTGGGGGGAGGGTGTTTGGGTATTTTTGTTTTCTTTTGTTTGTTTAAATACAACTGTATTTCCCAAAACAGAAATGACAGGAAATACTAGCTTACCTAACAGGTATCCGGGAGACAGACTCCCGCATCCGTCTCATTGTCAAGGGAGGTAGTGCAGGGACACCACTGTCACTGATATTTGAATTTGGGAACAATCTGAAATATCAACAAAAACAATTACAATTTCAACTGCTACACTACCTCCTGTACAATGCTCTTGAAAGCCAAAAATTTAAAGGGCTGTTTCTTTTCAGCATCATTACCTTCATGAACACATAGCTATCTTTACATAATACTTTTCCTCTGTGTATGGTATGACTAAAAACTATGTCTTCAGACTCCCCCAAAAAATTTCCCTGTGTTCTTTCTAAATTTAAGATACAAGTTTACATCAGACTTCAAGGTTTTCCTCAAAGGGTATTCAAGACCAGATTTTTTAAGTTCTATTAAATCCAAGTAGCACAAGTCATCCTACACTCTAACGACTAGTCACTATAAGAAAATGCATATATATGACTAAGTTTAGTTACCAAAAACTACAATCACTAAGACAGACACATAAAATCAATGGCAAGTTTAAACACTTTTGCACAAAAGGACTACCTCTAACATAACGATTTTCAACTTCGTCTAATCAATGTTAGAAAAGTATTATCCTTCACCAGTTTTCTCACCATTCCATGCATTTTCAACTGGGTGTCAAAAGGTGTGGTAGTTCTGAACACTGATGCTTTCAACAGCTAAAAACCAACTGAATCATGACCTTTTCTTCTGCTACCAGAAGTGTTATGCAAAAGGAATTACTATGCCTTCCCCATGTTGAAACAGAGGGCATTATAACAACTACCTGGTTGTTTAAGGTACTTCTTTGCTTTTTCCAGAATATTAAAATTTACAGCAAGAACAAAATGCATTTAATGCAAACGGCCTTCTTCACCTGGGAACAGACAATCATTGCTGGCTGTTTTATGACATCAATACACACGTTCTGCATATTGATGAAAGTGACTATCCTTCCCAACAATCCCAGTTTATCTCTATCATAAGAGATAAAAAAAAAATGATGCTTGTCTGTCACAGGGAATTACTGTTGCTACGAAAAAGGAACAGTCCTTACAAGAGTTGCCTGATATTGCTCCAGTCGACACACATGGTTGGAACTTTAGTGCTGCAGTGTTCGTGGAACTTATAACCACATGTCTGACACCGAAACCCATTTAGCAGGAACTTCTGGCAGATGTCACAGAAAGCCAGCTTTAGAAACGTCTTCCGAGCCTAGAAAGCACATTAAATGATTAATCCAAATTACTAGCTTCCCTTCATTAGCCGAGGTCAACATCTTCAGAGCTTGATATAAAAAACTGCCATCTTAAAATGTTATCAGTGTCCCCTTCAAGTGTGACTGAACTTAAAACCACAGTGGAGTATTCTTGTATACGTTTCCAGTTTGCTTGGAAATCTGGAAAGCTTACAAAGCTTACAAACATTTAGGACTTTGTTTACCTGATAATTTAAAAAAAAAAAAAAGAGAAGTGTTCTGTCAAATTCAAAAGCACTGTTTTGTGCTCAGTAAGGTGACAAGAGTTGGGTGGGCCAAGAATCCAAGAATTGAGTTTTTTGTTTATTCTCACAAAAATTCAAGGAGGATCAGATCATAAGAACCATCTCATTATTTTTTTTGTTATTTAAAACGCTTGTTGTGTTTTTATGACTAACCAATACCTCTTGCATAAGAAATAAATTCCTTAGTCAATTAAATAGCTTAAGGAAATACTACTTTTTTAAACAGCATCTAACGTTTTTTTAAAGCTTCTGAAATACAAATAAAGACTAAAATGAACCAAATGGTTTCTTCCTCCAGAGCATTCTGTGGAGGAAGGCTCAACGTTTGAGCTTCTTCCAGATCTGGAGAAAAATATCAGTTTTCTGGTGACCAACTGCAGGTAATTTTATTTGTAGTTTTCTGAAAATGTAAAGTAGAAGCAAAGCTACTTTCAGCTTTTGTATATCAATCCTAACATTTCTAATGGATACAAATGACAATCCTTTAGTTTTGCCACTTGGCACAATATGCTTCTGGGACAAAACAATAAAAATGCTAGAACATAGGAACAGAGTTCCTTCACACAGAGAACAAAATAACACAAGTAAAACTGTTACAGTTAAGAGCGATCTCTTTATAAAAAAAAACAAAACACCTCTATTTATTTGCTCTATTCTGAGCAAATAACACATTTTTGAGAAGGAACTGTAAATCTCAAGTCTTGCATCCCCCCAAAAACACTCTCTCAAATTACAAGGCAGCATTAGCTCACAAAACATCATGACCTTGCTGAATTAACAGCACTCCTCCACATTCAGTACAATTACCAACAGTCCAACAAAGCTGCTGAACTTATCCAGCCTTTTTTGACAGGGGAGCCACAGAAAATGGAAGTTATCTCCCAGTTCTGGACTTTAAAGACATGGTATCTTAATCGACAGTTACAGAAATATGTATTTATATAAAATAAAAATGGCAATCATCAGACCTCTGAAGAATATGCTTAACATGAGCTTTTAAAGACTCTGACACCTGGGAATCACTAAACATAAATAGAATTCTGGCATTTCATTGCCAATAGATGTTTTGCCAATCTAATTTGTGGGGAGAAGGGGTGCAGGAATCAATCATCACTTCTGAAATCTGCTCATCTGTTTAGAAAGCCAAAAGGTACCTAATGCTTAAAACACTCTTTGACTGAACATATGGGTCAACTGACAAAATTTACATCAAAAAACAGACAAGGAAAAGCTTACAAAATTGTGTGTAGTGAGTGGAACATGATCAAGAAAGTCCACTTGCAATTCCTCTCCGATCAAGGAGGCAGCATCTGTATTCCAATCCAAACGCACTTTTTTTCTGAAAGAAAGAAAATAAGGACAGCAAAATTACTTAGGAGATAAGAAGTCTGGCCTAATCAGTGACCTACATTTTGTGAGTTTTCTTGAGGAAAATGAAAACAAATACAAAAAAGCGTGGCTAACCTCTCATAGTGAGCTATATTTCACTGTCTTTCACTTAAAAAAAATGAAGCAACTTTGAAGCCAGAGCGATTCACTTCTTTTCCTGTTCATTTTTTAATAGTAAGTTGTTTAGATATATAGATTATTTGAAATAAGACACCTAGAAGGTGCAATGGAGTCACAGAAATACCCTTATAAAAAAAAAAAAAACCATAAGAAATCATGAATGGCAGACTTAGTGACATGAAAGCCATATTACAGCATGAAAATTACTGGTGACCCCAAAATGGACTCAGTTACATAAAGATGTAAACCCACAAACAACTGCCTCACAATGGGGGCTTAGGAGAGCTTTAAGCCCAAGCCTTACGGGGTGTGAAGTTAAATGTATTAACTCCATGAGATACCTTCACTCCCTCAGCTCCTAAAAGAATCATTTGGTTCTTAACAGCAGCACCCCCAGTCCTACAAAAAATAAGGAATATCTGAAGCGAAATTTAAATCCAACATTGAAAATTTGTAGAGAAACATAGAGCCTTAAAACTGAGAACCCAGAGGAAACGTTCATTTGAGGTGGCTAAGAATCACTTACACTGAAGTCTACCAACTATAAACGCAGAATAGACATGCACTTCAAAAACGAAGGCACATCACATCATTTCATCTAGATCATGACATAAACCTCTGTAAGATGCTACAAGCACTTGAGTGTACTCCTCAATTTTGAGCATTTTCAATATTTAGCTTTAAAACAAAAATAAAATTTTTAAGACCCAGGAAGCTGAAGAGGTTGACCTAGAGGAGGGTAATGAAAGCAACATGAAGTGTTCACAACCAAATTGCACTTTTAAAAAGAAACTAGCAAAAGAGAGGAAGAAAGCACTATTGCTGCTATTCTAAAACCAAGATTTTTAACGCTCATTAGATGAAAGTTTCACACCTAACATTACAGACTCTTACCCTTTTGGTTCAGTAAGAAGTCGAAAAACTGCACAGCATTCTGGCTGCAGACCTCTTACTTTAAGCGCCTTCATAAGACAGTCATGTAAGGTCATCCCGTTTCGCACATTTACCTGGGACGGAAGGAAAAAACATTAGTCAGTGACTGCAGAATTTGTTTAAGTTGGTGATTTGTTTGTTGTTTTTTTTTTTGTTTTTTTTTTTTGCAGGTGGGAAGTAATTTTTTCTCCTTTACTTTAGAAAGTTCCAGTAAAACTACACAGCTGTTCACTTTTTAAGTTAATAAATAGGTAAATAAAAATTACTTGCATGGTGTAACAGACGGCTGCGCCTTCTGATTCAACTCACTGTATGTTCAGCCAACCTGTCAGACTGGCACGTTTTCTGCCACATACGTAACTTTTGTGTACTGGTGCAAAGGAAGTTTTGGAGTAATTTTTCAATTTCTCCATTTCTTACAATTACTAAGTTTCTGTGAAACAGGAGTTTATACAGCACTCATACAAGTAGGTAGCTTGTAAAAGTAACAGAAACGGAGGTAAACGGAGTTACCTTAAGTACAGAAAACGGCTTAATTTAGATTTCAGGGAACTTTGTGTAAGACTATTATTAGTACACTTGGCTCCAAGAAATCTAATAGAAGTGTTCCCTCAAGAAGTTTCACTTCAGCTGTAACTACCACACTTCACTGTGACGTCCAAGTGAAGAGAATGGTGACAGAAATGACTACATGTTTTACTTATAATCATAGAATGGTTTGATTGTACACAGACATCATTGTTTAGGTCAGCCAACTACTGTCTTTTCATGTTAAATATGTAAGCAAAGTATCTTGTTCACGTATACTGGAAAAACACAGCACTGAGGTAGAGAAATACCAGTTCTCAAAACACAGATACACTGTTTTCAAAATATGTCCTCCAGAATTAGCAAACTGATGACAACACACTTAATCACAGTAAGACCTTTTGTGAAGCTTGGCATTTCTCTTGCCAGATACACGTCATAGTGTCAGCAACAGGAACATTTCTCACATAAAGGCAATCTAGACTTACCACTGTGCGCTGCTTGTTGGGCAAGAAAACACGAATAGTATTACTAGTTTTGGAAGTATCTGATATTTTGCCATCGTCAGATGCTCGGCGTTGATAACCAAACTGCTGGACGATAGTAGGTGAAATACAGTTTGGGCCATCAAAGACAGAATCCTTGAGTCCAAAACCATTACTGATAGTCTTCCAAGCTCCCTGAATGTGCTCCATTGATGCTGTCTAAGAAACAAAAATTCAGACAGTCAGGGAAAATTAGAAAATTACAATATCCTTCACTATGAAGTGGTGCTCTCTCTTCCTGACACAACAGACCTCACAGCCTCTTTTGAAAGCATCTGAAAACTGCACTGCCATGATCAACCTACACATCCACAGTACAGTTCACCCACATCTGCAAATTAGCTTGAGTCTTGAAAGCATTTGACTTCCTGCACATGCACAGACTGTCAGTAATATACGTGTCATTTCTCTCACTGCATCTCTGGTGTCACAGGAGCAGTTTACCACGTTAATTTGGATAATCAATGCCTGAAAGACCTTCAGAAAGGTGGCTGGGTGCTAGCTGCAGGCCAAAAGAATAGTCTTGTAAGCCAGATACGGTATGCAAGCATTAGGACAGACTCTACAGTTAAGAAAAAGAGGCCCAACATAAAGTATAATAAAAAGCATTCGTGGAAGAAATCCTATTTTTATCAGTAATTTTGGTGCTTTGGTTTGGGTTTTTTTCTGGGGGTGGGGTTGGTTGTTGATTGTTTTTTTAAAAAAGGGTAACGAGTTTAAAACTGTTAGTATAGAACAAAATACTCAACATTTTAATACTGTCACAATGTATGTAGTATAAAACAGCAAAAAAAAATCTAAAAACCCACTCACACTAGGCTCAGTTACATTTCAGCATAAACCTCTCCCAGTGCAGGGACACGAACAATCCGCTGCATACTTCCAAATCAGCACACAGTACTATTTTTGTACACTCAAGGACAAAGATAAAGGTAGCTGGTGAAAAAAATACACTGAAATCACAATTCCAACACAGCTTTACATCCAAATTATACTTCAAATGCATCTTATTCACAACTAAGCAAAAACAGTCTGAAAAAAGTTTTGAACAGTGAAATGCACTCCTTGCTAAATTTCCAAGTAGCCACATTCATTACCAAGCTTTCAGAAAGAAAAAATAGGAATAAAAAAGAAACAGTGAAAATAAGCACAGTAGCTTATTTCTCCCATAAAACTACATCTTTCTATAAACATCTGAGAAACTGATGCTCAGAACTACAGTGCAAGTGCAATTCTTTTGCCATGTGCAAGTAGATTATTTCCAAGTTAACCTTGAGTGGTTGTGCATGCCCTCTACATTCCTGATCACCTCTACAAAAGGTAAAGAAAGTCGTATTAAAGCTGCAAAGTCAAAAAGCAAGTCAGTCAGGGAGTGTCAAAATAAAGGTCTTCCAAGCAATCTTAATTCTGTCCCCTTATGGTACTGGAAAGACTTACATGGAAAGACCGACATCGTTCCCCTGAAACCACTAACAACTTGATTCAGTATGTAATACCAAATGCTCCTTTACTGAACACCTATCGGTATCTATCAAAACCTCATTTCATGCCTGGTCCTGTGCCTCCTTTGATGCAAATTATTTGAACCCTCCAATTCATTTCTTCATTTTTTTTGTGTAGCACCCATTTAAAAAAAAAAAAAAAAAAAAGAGAGAGAGCACACACACACTCCCCTCATCCCAAACACTCACATACTAACATCAGAGAAAAGATAACGTTTGTTACAGCTGAAGAGCTAAAGTAATAGAATTCATGGAAAAAACACCTCCACTCGTGTTAAGCGTGCATTTTGGGATGTCCAGAAGGATAAATTTTGAGTTTCAGTGTTTCACTCACAGTACAACTCTGAAAAATCTTAGAGATCTGTAAGCACTCAGCATTGCTACAGACCTAAACCCAGACCTGACTAGTATCGAGAAAGGACACGCGTAACAACAAACTTAAAGAAAAAGTTTGGTTTATTTGAAGCACCTACTGTCGCATGCAAACTCTGCAGCAGAAGAGCTGGAGGCCTCCTACACTCTCAGCTACAAAGGGATCTTTTCGGTCAGTTCACGAACATGTCTTTCACTGACAACATACACATCCTCATCCTCTCCTTCCCTCCTGCCATTTGTCGTCATTCCTGCCTCAATGCCATCCGTTGTGCAGGTCCAGCTGTCCAAAGGTTCAAAATATTTAAACAGCAGTAAAATTTACAACTCAATCAAAAGCTAATAGGATTTAGATACTTCGAAATTATAATTACGCTTTTTAATTTACGGCACATAAACGAGAACAGTCATTTGATGTAAAAAGAGAACAAGGAATGGGAAGACACAGAGATGTTCTGAAAAAGGAGGGAGGAGCGGAGATAAAATTGAGGAATACAGCTGAGTTCAGCATGCACCAGCAACTAGGAGTACAACAATCCCTCAATTCATATGCACTGCCCTACTGTCAGGAATCAGAAAGGTGAAAAAGAAGTGAAGTACAGTTGCAACAACTGTATTATGCATATCGATAGCTAAAAGAGTAACTAGTGAGATGGTAACCATAAAAACAGAGGGGAGATAAACCTGTTAGGTAACAGAGGTAGGACGAAACCCAGACAGCTGGTTCTCTCTTCCTCTTAACTCACCCACTATGGGGAATTCTACTCTATTTCACCCTTCCAGGTAACACTTGAGACAAAGCAAGAGTTCAACTGGATTTCTCTACTGAGTAAGCCGAGATAAGGAATAGCAGGGCAACCATCAAAACCTCCTTGTTGTCACTGCGGAGTAAGTTGACAACACCCTGACGTTACAGCCTTTATATTTAGTATTTTGACATGCTGCCAACGTTTCCTGAAAAATTCAAGAGAAAACAGGAAATGACAAAAAATTCAAACTTGCACCTTGACAAAAGCTAAGTTTCATAACAGAAAAGGTACTTCCCTGCTCTAACGATGTTCTCTCATCCAAATACGAAAGGCCTACTGCACACCGTAGAACAGTCTACTCTTGAACATGACAGAACCACATTTTGAGGTGGTTGTACGCACAGAAAAACATGGAGACAGCAACTGCTATCAGCCTTCTGTACAACACCAATGTCAGTTGTATCTTGGATTATGCATTTGCATCCTATTCTTTCCAAGGATCTTTGCCTCAAGAAAGTTCTGGACATCCTCAGGACTGTGTATGTTTGGCATAATCCCCTCTTCCAGCAGTGCCCTGCTCTCTCTTGCCACCATGCTTCATCAGTGCGTTTTTGCCATCTTTTTGGCTGCTGATGATAATCGTGTCCCTGGCAGCTTGGGTTCACTCCCAGATGTTGAGAGTTCTTTTTCTAGAAACCAAAAATACCTCCTCACCTCAGCAGGCAAATTTAAAACATGCCATCCTTAGCTCTCCTTCCTGCCTAAACTGAAGGCTATGGGTTCTACTCACACACTTCAAGAAGGAGCCACCACTAAAGAGAGAAGATAAGAACTTGGCTCATACCTAGCCTGGAGTGGACAAAGACCTGCCAGTGGCCTGAGAGTAGGGGAGAAGAATGGGAAGTTTATAAAATATTCCCAGTCTCCTGAGGAGAGACAGGGAATCCACGATGAAAAGCTGCTAAACCTGCTCTTGGCATCCATGGTACTAGGGCATGCAGTTGGCAAGGTGGGGCTTGTTGAAGAAACAGCAGTAATCCATTGTCCTGCTGCTGACTTTTGCAGCTGCTCAGAGGCAACCCTCATGTGGGATGACAGGGAGGCTGCAGCTCCTCAGAAATACCTCTTCACTCAGGCCAAGAACACTTCGACTCCGATACTGCATGGGCAGCTGCTGGACACGTTCACTTCTGAAACCTAGTTGCTGTTCATATTTCCAATCATTAGAAAGAAAAGAGACAGTCATAAAACCTGCCTCTTAAGAAGTTATTTAGGAACGATTTACACCTTTCTCCTGCCCTCTAGTGTAAAGAAAGCCAGTTTAAAAAATTAGATGAATATATACAAAACAATCCACTTTGAACTCAAACAGCTCACTGCAGATATAGATACGAGGCAAGAGAATTAGCATGGCCACTGCTTGATCAGCTTTGAACTGATAACAAAAATAAAAATATATGTAATCACACAACATAATATTGCACGTACACACGTGATTTCTAGTTTGCAAACTGAACACAGAAGCAAGCACAGCAGCAGAAGACAACTGACACACTATTTCACCAGACACAGGTTCGTTGCATCTCTGGCTACCTTAACAGGTAAGACATGGGCACGGCATAGCTTAACTTCCAGTGTCCTGGAACCTGTGCCCTAGCATTGGTTTGTTTATTCATTTTGGGTCTTCTGCTCCTAACAATATTTGATGAAAGCCATTTTCACTAAAACTAGATTAATTTTCTCCAACTCCCTCAAGATCCACGCCAATTCACTCCAGTGAAAAGATGTTTGATATGCTCTAAAGAGAAACTTAATTTAAAACAAAGGAGGACTTTTCAATGCTGGCTTCATAAATGAATAATTCTTAGTTTGTCTATTTCAGAAAAACTAGTTTTTCTTTCTTTAAATGAGTTACAAGCATGTTTCTGAAACATAATCATTCTCAGATATTAGATTTATGTTTATGCCATGCCATTCACTGAATGTTTCCATGCATCTTTCTAAAATTTTTCTTCCTGCAACTCTTAATTTTCATGAAAATTACTTCAAACATTTTGTCTACAACTGAAAAACTGCAACAGCAGCAGTCAAAAAATATTTTAAGATATTAAAGTATGAGCATATCAGTCCTCTTGTAAATCCAGTACCGCTAGAAAACTGACACTGATTTGTTTCATACTCAACATTCAATTCGGGCAGAAAAAATAATCTCATATTCCTCCACCTCCCACAGGTATTCTGCACACTGTGTCCAAGATTGCACTTTTAATTAGTACTTTCTGCATAGATTATAAATTTTGATAGTCATTTATTTGAACAAGCATGAAAACCAATCGCACAAAACAGTTATGCAATGTGCACACCTGACTAACAAATTCCTAGAGATCATTCACTCATATCCACTCAGATCATACACTCATATCACTCATTCATATCCAAAAGATACTTTTTTCCATGACTAGCAAAAAGTATTTAGTCTGAACCGTTAAAAATTTCCGTCTGCCTCCCTAAGGAATGCTGAAACTTGTAATG